TTAAAGTCAAAAATAGTTGTTTTTTATTTAACCCAAAACAAAACTTGGGTAAACAGAAAAAATGACAAAAATTGGGCCCATAAAAGAGGTCAAAGTAACAGACATCAACTCAGACCAACTCAAACAAACAGACCTAACAAACAGAAAAAGGGGAAACTTAAATACTGGCTGATCAGGCCACATACAAAACACCAAGGGGAAAATACACAAAAACCTAACTGAAACTAACATAGAAAAATCCCATTCCCCCACCCCCTATGAATAATGAGTAGTGGTATGAACCAATTTGCAGTCTCAGCTGGCTTGCTCCACCCCTTCTCCACCTCTCTGCTCTCCTAAAGGATTGGAGCAGCCAGCACTGAGGAAACTCAAAAAACAAACAAAGGTTAAATCAAGCAAAACACAACAATGTAAACTAAAATGTGCGCACTTATTCTAGAATACAATGTGATGTGTTGCCTTTGAACCAAAACCAATTACTCTGTAAATTAAATCCTAGACATAAAGAAACCCAAATATAAGTGGGGTGAACCTGTTTGTAGTGAAAGTGAATGTGAACCTGTTGCGTGTGGTGAAAATGAATGTTCCCAGATTTGTGTGGCTGTAACTGCAGCCATCACACTCCCTCCTCCATACTGAATCTCCACTCTAAGCAGTAAGCCTCCTCAGTTCACTTCCTTCCAACTTTCACCTCCATATCCACACCCTTTTATAGTTCTCCCCACTGAACCCAGAGAGCTGAACCTACCATCACTTTCTACAGTCTTGGTTATTTGTGAATAAATCCTTTCCTTGCATTGGATTCTGCATATATTGGGTCCTTTCGTAACGTTAACAGCTGTTTTGGTTTATTTAGAGAAAATATATTATAACCATGTTATTCATTCATTTATAAATGTTGTTTGGTGGTTCGAAAAGGTGAGAAATTAACATTTTTGGGTGGAACACCAATAATTACCCTGAGAAACAAAATCAGCTCAACAGAGCAACAGTGACATCACAGCCCTGATTGTACGGTCCGCTTTAACTCTGTAACATTTCTGTTGGTAAAGAAATGCTGCATAAGCAGTGAGACATGTTTTGTTGCTTTCTGTTAAAATACATAACAGTATAATAAACACATCTTTTCATTCATACAACTATTAGTTTAATTTAAAATGAAGGTTTCAGATTAATTTTTAACAGCACAGACTAAAGCCACAGCCCAACCTCAATGGCATAAAAATCAAATCCCTTAGCAGTTAATTGTACGTTTTGTGCTCTGCAGGCAGGGATTTGACCGATGAGTCATTTACCTTCACACACAGGAACCAAGGCTACTATGAGGCTGTGCAAGCAGTAACCATATAACAAGGTCAAAGACCTGAAGGATCTCACTGAACTTTGTTTTACAGGCTCTGCAGGAACATATTTGTTAGGGTGAGTTTATGTTTCATATCACGTGTAGATATTCTCAATATGACAAGAGAACTGAATTGGTAAAGCAAACATGTAGTGATCTATGAACTTGTTAGACAAAAATGTAAAAGTTGAGACAGTAAACATCTTTGAGTAGCTAAGTGAACAGAGAAGACTTTTTGGAGCTAAATAAATGTAGCTTCCTTCTGCGTTTCTGAATCTTCACTCCCTCATCAGGAAAACAAGCAGAGTGCAGACTCCTCCCCGTGACCTTTGGAAAATCTTCCAAAGTTGTTAATTCTGTTGAGTACCTGCTGAGTTACATGTTCCCTCCTCCTCATCTCAGCCACAGACGCAGCAGAAGTCAATCCACAGTGAGTACAAAAACAAAAAACAAAAAAAAAAAACATGTAAATTTCAAGCAGATCAGAGCTCCGGGGAAGGAAATATTTGCTACAGTTCATCCAGAGAGGCAGATTTGATCCAGCTCCAGTTTTAAACTGCTGCTTATTAACTGTGAATATCATTTCTGGTTTACACTAACAGGGTGTTTACACTAACAGTGTAGTGGGTTTTGCTTTTCATAATGCAGGAGGAAATAGTTGGAAGGATTGGACATTGAAAACCATCCTACATCAGTTCATCTGTTTCTTCTTGTGTCTCTGCTCTTTCTTCTCAAACCTCCTGTCAGTCATGGCAGATAGCCGCTTGTACTGAGCCAGGTTCTGGTTCTGCTGGAGGTTTCTTCTTGTTAAAGAGGAGTTTTTCCTCTCCACTGTTTCTGTTTTTTGTGAAGTGCCTTGAGACGTCATTTACTGTGAATTGGCGCTATTTAAATAAACTGAATTAAATTTAACCACTTGGTAAAATTGTAAGTCCAATAATAATTGGCAGCCATGAGAAGATATGGCATTTCTTTTGAAAATCCATCATAAACAACAGTCAGGTTAGCACTAATTTTCCCTGCTAGTGAAAATAAGGAAGTGATAGATTACAAACAATGGCAAACAATACAGTGTTGTTTTTTCAATACGAGTTAGTGCTAATATTAACAAAATAAGGGCAGGAGATGGCACACCATGAACAAATTTGTCATTGTATATTCTGGCAGTCTCATAACTCAGTAGGTTACAGTTTCGTAATGTTGCACAGTGGTGATACTGTCAGGTACTTCTAGATACTTTATTGCCAAGTAACTGAAATGTGAACTGTCCATTCTTGCATAATTTGGCTGCCTGCATTGATAAATGTAACCAGGTGAAAATAATTTGTGATTATTTTCACAAATTATTTTGTGAAAATAATATAATGTCCACAGTCTAACTAGACTGTGGACTTTTTACCTAGGATTTAAAAATTCATTAAGATTCAATCTAAACCCATTGATTCTGAAACATCCCACTCAACACTGGATTCAGTTCAGTTTATTTATATTGCACCAGTTCAGAAAATATCGACTTAGAGAAAATAGTCATTTCAGTCCAATCATGCAGATATTCTGACTGATTCCAGTTATGCTGGATCTGGTTTAAAAACAAATTTTCTGTTTTTGTTACATGAAGCGTTAACCTTAATCTAATAATTCTATGTGACGTTAGTCTTTCCACAACTTGTGTCTTATTGTAAGCGTATGGAAAATACTCTATCATCTGCACATGTTTTGTTATTAGGATATGCAGTAGTTATTAGGACACTGAGGTGAAAGATAATTTATGCAAAGGGAAAGGAGTAATGGTCCCAAAATACATTCTAGTGGAACATCTGTGGACAAATAAAGTGGATGTGTGCAGCTACTGATTTTAACAGATTATGATCAAATAGATAAATAGATAAATAAGTTTCTATTAATTTTTGGCACCTGATGAGAAGTTGAATCCGTAAGATTTTACAGTTTATACAATCAAAGGTCTAAGTCATATCTAGTAAATATTTTACTCTTTTTTAGATATTTTATTTCACAATAAAACAGAGAAGAAAACAGTGACCTTAGCATTGCCAGGCAGGCTGAATATGCAGAGAGAGTAGATCAGTATCTTTATTGATCCTCATTCAGTGAAAAGTCATATGACATAGATCATATGATAAAGACCATCTCTGTTAGAACTGCAGCTGCTTTGGCTATTCTTTAAATGTGACTACATAAATCCAAAACTGTAAAAGATGGTAGAAAAAGTTCCTTCATTTCTGTGTGTTCTCACAGTTCTTTATCCATTTCAGAAATGCTTGACTCTTGGGTATTCCTGCTTCTCCTTGTCCCAGGTAAATGATCACTTTGTAAAACAAAGTAGACACTGACACTGAGTTAGCATCTATGCTTTTAATAAAGTCAACCTTTTGACCTCTGCAGGGGGGCGGATGTTTATGATCCATAACACGCAGTATGGCCTGTGTCTGGAGGAGTCGGCTGGCACAGGTCAAGTTCTCCTGAAACAGTGTGACCTGGACTCTCTGGCTCAGCAGTGGCTCTGGATCAACCAGGGCATGCTGATGTGTGTCGGATCCTCCAGGTGTCTGTCGGCTCAGCAGGACCATCCGGTCCAAACCCAGGCCTGTCCAAAGTCAGACCAGGAAGCTCCAGAGCTGATGTGGGACTGTAGCAGTAACAGACTCAGGAGCAGAAACACGTTCTTACTGCTGTCCACCGACGGCCAGCATGTGATTCTCACAAACCGCCTCAAACACTTTGAGTGGAAGTCTCTTGATGAGGTGGATGTCTGTAAGAAGAGCCTCCGTAAGTCTGAATGAACCAAAGCAGATCCAATGAGGTTGATCTCAGAAATATTTGGAATATAAAGGCAGCAGCATCATTTCTTTGTAGCACTTTCAACAACTAAACAGCAAAGTAATCCAGTAATACTTTATCACATGTAAAAGTCATGTCAATAATAATTGTGTATTAAATTTTTTGCAGAATTTGATGTAACAGCACAGTAATTGATCTGTTTCTGAAAACCAAAGGATTTGCCATGTTCCTGTGTGTTCCTCTCAGGGCTCCGGAGAGCGTCAGAGGACCAGGACCTGTTAGACGATCCGGAGGAGGCAGCAGACGGGATGAAAGGCAAGATGGAGGAGAAGAGAGAGTATTACCGCTGGTTCTACCGTACCGAGAACCGTAAGCACCGCCGCTTATCATAAAGGTTATAAAATCCTTCAGCCAAACGTGGTTCAAGTTAAAATGTTTGGTGAAATCAGAAGCTCAATCTGAGTCTTTCACACGTAAAAGCATTCTACTAAAGCTAAAGTATGTAACTTTTATAGAAAAAAGTGCTTTTACATATTTGTTTAAACTGCCACAATATTGTGACAGCATATTATGAGACAAATATGACTCAACCTCCTCCATCTCCTCTTAGTGCTCCTACAGTCATGTAGAAAGACACCGCTCAGTCAGAAACAACAAATCAGAGTCAGGAGGTGGGTCTCAGTGCTGTCAGTCATGCTCGTGTACATGCAATGTGCTAATGGCAGAGAAACAACTGTTACAGGAAAACTGTTTATCTGCTGTCATCAGTGGCCATTCTAACTAGCCTGAGCGTTCATGATGGCTCCACTGTGGTGGACCATATGGAGGAGGCAGAGCAGCTTGAATTTTTCACAGATTGTATTTTTCATATTGAACTGTCACAACATGGTGACAGTTTTAGCAAAAGTGTAAAAAAAACATCCATCCATTATCTTACATGCTTATCACTAGCGGGTCCACAAGGGATGCTGGTGCCCATCTCCAGCAGACAACAAGCGAGAGGAACACTAGGAGAAAATACAAACTGCATTTTAAACCAGGACCTTCTTTCAAGGCAACAGCTACCAACCGCGCCACTGTGCAGTTCTGTAAAAGTTATATTTTTTAATTAAAAGTTACAACTGCAGCTTTAACATAAGGTCAGTCCTTATGTTAAAGGACGGACCTTTAACATAATCAAATTCTCTTCTTACAAAGAAGAGAATTTGATTGTAATAAATTAATATTTTAAAAACTAATTTTGACAACACCTACAGTGGCCTCTCACTTTGAGTCACAGAGCATATTTTCCCAGCTATTTGCCAGCATAGAAACACAGTCAGCAGCTGATCATGTACTCCAATGAGGGGGAGGGGAAAAGATTTGGCAACTGAGAGCAGTGGCGTGTGTAATTTCTGTGGACCAACATTATTTCAGAAGGTTCTAGCTTAGCTAGGTCTTGATCCAGTGCACATATGGCATAACTTTGTGATTATGTTCTTTTCTGTCTTGCAGCAGCTATTTGGACATTTGTGCTTCTGGTTCTGGCTTTTGTCTGTTTGCTCATTGGGTTTTTGCTGCTGGGAATGGGAGCCATGGCCAACAAGTAGGAAATTACACATCAAATCTTAGCAACAAAGGAAAACATGTCATGTTCCATTTTAAGGGTGTTCTGCTTCATCTTCAACAGGAGCAGAAAGAAGATAGCTAAATACAAAGCCCAGGCATCCCTTGTTAAGAAGCATGAAGGCGAAGAGCTTCAAGTCGTTTCTGCTCTTCGGGATAATGGAACATCTCCGCTGCCCCAGGGTCACACATCATCCATGTCTGAAGGAGACACAAAGGAATTAAAAGCAGGGGACATTGTGGTCACATGGAAAGATGGCAACACTTCCTGCTTGTATCCAGATCATGTTGTAGAGGAGAGACAGGAGGAGCTGGAGAAGGATCAGCAGGAGAAAAGGGAGGAAGTGTGGCAGGAACGAGAGGCTCATGATGAGGGGAGGATGACAGAGTGAATACTGGTCTGTCCCTCAGCTTTTAAGTTACCGTATTTTCCGCACTATAAGGCGCACCTAAAAACCTTCAATTTCCTCAAAAGCCGACAGTGCGCCTTATAATCCGGTGTGCCTTATATATGGACCAATATTGAGCCATAACAGGTCTAGCAACTACGGTAGGCAGCCGCCGACTTCATTTTCACCTGTAGAAGAAGAAGCGCGCGGTGCATGCTGGGATAGTTGTCAGAATGCTGGTTTGTAATCTATTAATAAAGTTTGACTGACCTATCTACCTACCGACCGTCTAGAATCAGGTCGTCTACAGGTCATTTAGCACCACGTTCTCCACGAACATGCTGTGCGCGAACAGAGAAGGGTGACCATCGTCCGGCCATGCCCCTGCCCAGTCGCGGAAGGCTCTCCTCGCCAACCGGAGTCGGACTGTTTTGTTGACATTCCGTTTAGTGCAGCTCCATCTAGTGGATGCATAACGTAACTCCAGCCTCTACTGTAGCTTCTATTCTATGTGCCTTATAATGCGGTGCGCCTCATATATGAAAAAAGTTTTAAAATAGGCCATTCATTGAAGATGCGCCTTATAATCCGGTATGCCTTATAGTGCGGAAAATACGGTAAGTTATCCGCCATTAGTTGGAACAATAGACTTTATCTGAGAAATATTCATTTAGATATAAAAACAATACAGTAAAAATACAGTTTTTATAAATTTAAATAAAATATTGTCACATGGATGTTGCTATATTCTTTACACTGCAATGCATTCTGGGTAAATGACGTTTGCTTGGTCCAGTTGTGCTAACTCCATCCGGCTAAAACTGCAATAAGTAACATTAAGTAACTTTGAATTGGAGTGCGTTGAAATTGAAGGGAATGTAGAAATCACAAGAAATAATGAAGAGGAGGAGAAACAAACAGTGGAAGAGGACAGGGTTGGCTGAAGAAGCTGGTCTTTATGCTTCTTCAGCATAAAGAAGAAGTCACCTAGGTGTCACCTAAATGACAGTAATGTCATTTATTTTTTTATAAATGAAAAAAATAAATGACACCTACTGCTGCTCAGACTGTGTGATCTAGTAAGTAGTTGATGTGCTCTGTATCAGGTCTGGTCTTCGGTTCGGTGTCGGGTCTGTGGTTTCATATTTAGTACCAACAGCAGTAGTAATAGCTTCCTTATCATTTCAAATAGCTTCCAGCGCTGCTTGTCTGATGTTTCTCCCAGGGTCTTTTTGCTCGCTAGCTGGCAGCGGGATTTAGGTGCTTTGTGGATAAAAACTGTTGGCACTACATTTGGTTTTAGCTTGTGAACCTGCTAGATCCTTCATCAGTTTTGCTCATACAAATGATTCAGTCTTCTGGAGAGAAATGTTGGGGGCACAAATGTGTCCTTCAGAAGTTGTATTTGGCTCTTTGCTTTTGCACTGTGCTTTTTTCATGTGGGAAGCAAAGCAGACTCACCTCACTACTTTTTTTTTAATTACAGTCAACTGTGACAGTGTTGCACTGTCTGAAATTACACCAGTCAAATGCAATATGATAAACAACAACTCGGGTTAAGTTAGCCTTCCTGTGTTTACTCTTAGATTCCCAACCGCATCATCAACCCAGCAAGGTGAAAAAATGGCAACCTCCATGGGTGAAAAATATAATGAAAGATCTAACATTTTTGAAGTAATTATGGCTTTTTACATATCACAAACTGCAATTTTTGAGTTAATAGGAAAATGCAGGACATGTTCAACTAATCGTGGACCACTTTAACGTTTCCTTTCATTTAGATTTAATGAACTACAAAGCTCTAAAGATGTTTTTTCAACAATCATGTGACTGACTAAATGCTCAGTATTCTTTGATGTGAACTGTTAACAAACCTTTAAATCCCTTCAACCTCTTCTGTTTCTGTCTTGTGTAATCTCGACCCAATGATGACTGCTGCAACAAGCTCACCTGAAACCACTGCAGGTCTTAATCCAGCCAAGGTGGTGTATGCATCAGTGTCATCCGGTGAGGTTCATGACTCCTCTTGAGCAGGCGTACAAGTATTTAAAACCCAAAACAGAAGCTTAGATTTAAATTTAGCTGATATTTTGGCCTTAACTTAAACATTTAGTTGTATTAAAAGCTTTCAATTGTGCTTTAATCAATTAGCACTATAGCAAGAACAACAGAATACTATTTTATATAAACTGAAATTAGATTTTTTTTTTTGGCTGATTCCTTTTTAACTGAAATTTAAAATGATCTCACTATGTTTTTAATATAAAGTCCATGCCCACAAATATTTGTCACTTTTGTAAAAATTGCTCATTTGCCTTCATTTTTAAAAATCTGGCAGCTTTAATGGAGCTGATCAGCACAGAGGAGAATCATTCAGGAACAGTTCTATTCTCACCGAGTGTTCTTGTGATTTTCTTATTGTTTTCAGTCTTTTTAATTTATAGAACACCTGCTGCCCTTTGCGTCTATTTGGTTCAGCACCTCACCACCATTAGTGCGACATTGTACTTTCTGCCTCATCTTATTCATTTTCACTGCTCATTTGTGGCTGATCAGAAGGATTAAATACATGTTCAATATGTTAGACTATGAAACACCAGCATGTAGAATTAAACATGCATATTGATAATATATAGATAGTAATGTTCATGCATCAGCTGCCTGCTTCATTCACTCTGTGACACAGTGCCTCACCCTTCCCTCTCTTCCTCCATGTGTTTGAACAATGTTTCAATTCAGCAATTTTGATAATAAAATTGTTTAAATTATTCATAAAACAATCAAATAATCAATTTGCCAACATGACTTGGGCTTCAGTTGCATTAGTATTTAACTTGCCATGATGACAGGTGAGGACCTGTTTTCCCTGACTGCAAGTCACTGCTTTATTGCCAGTTGATGCACATTTCACACACACCAAGGGTCATATTGAAAGCACTTTGCTGCCATGTAGTGGACTGAGTCAGCTAAAGTATGTCTAATTTCACAACTTTGAATGCTGTATATGGTAACTTGTGTGTGTTATATTCAAAATCTGTTTACAATCTTCTTGACAGCAAAACCACAACATCAGCAGTAAGTGGTTAAAGTCTCCATCTATAATATGTCTGTCTTCGCTGTAATGTGTTGTTAAATCAATTTTCCATCTTGTTTTGTTGAAACTTTTTCCAAACTGGAACAAGGTTATAAGAGGTAAATGGATTGTATTGATTTTCCAATCATTTTAATCACTCAAAGCACTTTACACTAGAGTCACATTTACTCATTCACACACACATTTATACATCAGAATGCAGATTGGTAGGCAACTTGAGGTTATGTGCCTTTCCCATTGACATGTGACAGGAGGAAGCTGAAACCTACAACCTTCCAATCATAAGAAGACTACTCTATCCATAGAGCCATAGTTGCCCAAAGTCTGGTCTAGTGAGAAGAATTGGGTTTAATCATGACATCATTTTGTGCGAAACATGGCATCTGAAGCTTGAACCTGTCATCCTTTCTTGGAGACTAAAACTGTACACAAGAGAGAAATCCCCAGTGGTGGAGAAAGTACTCAAAAAATTTACTTAAGTAAAAGTACAAATACACTGACAAAAATGTACTTAAGTAAAAGTAAAAAAGTACTGGCTTTTAAAAATACTTAAGTATTAAAAGTAAAAGTACTTGCTGAATGCATTACCTAATCCCTAATACAATATCATTAAGTGTACCGATTGCATTTAATTTGAATACATCAGAAATGTGCCATTTTAATGAACAATGCCACAGATAAAGGATGTTTTTATTATGTTTACTCTGTAGCATAGTTTAGACTTAGACATGTGATTCTATGTATCATAATTTCAAGGATGGAAACATCTTGTCTCCTGTCCTAACATAGCATAAACTTCACTTTTTTTTTCTTTTTTTTTGCCACTAGTGGCATTTATTTTTAAAGAAATCCAAGAAGGTGGGGGGTGGGGGGACATACAACCGAGGAGCCACGTAGCAGAGTTGTAGTCAAGACCACCTACCCAAGACCAGCTACGTGACGTTTTACCTATCAAAATTGCTTCTCAAATTGACCTGAAAGATCCACATTCCCAAATAAGACCTAGATATTAAATACTTAGAGCTGAAATAAATTGAATCAGTAAAGATCCGTCCAGAAGAATCCGGTCGTTCACCGCGGTAAAGCTAGCCGGCTCTGACTCCAGCCGGCCCAGCACACAATATACAAGTGCGCGGTCGCTCAAGACATTATGGTACACCCATTTACGTGCTGCTTTCACAATAAAAGCGCACATCCGGTCCATGTTAGAGCTACTCAAATCCGGCCGCAGCATTTGCAAACAGAAAATAATATATGCTGAGAAACAAATACAAAAAAAATAATATATATATATATATATATATATATATATATATATATATAGCTATTGCAGTGTACACAAGAACAAAGAACGGCTCTCAGTGAGGCTTCAGTCCCATCAACTTTAGTAAAGATCCGTCCAGAAGAATCGGATCGTTCCTGAATGTCATATCACTATATTGCACTTTGGTCACAGCGTTGTCCCATATATGCGACAACTCAGTCAACACCTCCACACAATAATTCAGCGCATGAATGACAACGTTTTTTCATCGCAGATGCAACATGTGTCTCAGTCAGTACAGCTAGTTTTGCTAGCATCACGTCCACAGATCTTACCTTTCTTTAAGCTTTCCGTCCAAGTGTTGGACAAAGTCCCACCGTCTGTGAAAGCGAAGCGCTGCTGGTTTTACATGTCGTCATATCTTATGATTTATGCAGCTATTATCGTTTAAAACATCTTCTCCCGCTCAGAGGAAACCACTGCGCATGTCTGGAGCTCCGCGTGCGAGTAAAGGTGGAGGCGATGGGTGACAACAGACACGTAAGTCACGTCATTGCTTGGATTTTACGGCGCCACCTTAAACCCCTGAACTTCACATTTTAACGGACAAAAAGCGCAACGCGACTTGGATGCAACGAGTAACGCGACACTTTTGTAGAAATGTAGTGAAGTAGACAGTACAGATACTTACTGTAAAATTTAGTGGAGTAAAAGTAAATCCCTAAATCAAAGTCTTGCTCTGCCAGAGAATAAAACTTCTAGTTTTGCAATGAGGCCACTAAATGAAAGAAGGGGCCAGGTCTGAAGCTGAATTCAGACCTGGTCCTGGTCCATATGAATATAACCATTTATTGACATGTTATGCAAAGTGTCTGTCTAAAGTTATCTAAATTGTCAGTGTTATCTGTGTTGCAGATTGTAATGGACTGGGTTAGGCCTCTATCACTGTTTAGGTATTTTTTTGTTATGGCAAAAGAACTTTGTAATAATGACAGTGGAAAGATCAGCAAGAAAAGATGGTTATAGTTTTTTGTTTCTTTTATTGTTGATAAGACTATGGCTACACTTACACCAGCCCTGTTTAGTCCCTTCAAAGGGGACATGACAAGCAAAACGTCTTTAGCCCCTTAACCCCTTGTACCTAACGTCTCTTTTTTTGGAATTTTTTTGGAGAGTTCTCAAAAATGACACCCCCAAAATGATTTCAATATATCTCAGGAACTACTAAGTGTTTTTGACTAGTTCTGGTATCAAAATGAAAGTAACATTCCAGAGAATACTCTAGAGGTCTAAAAATCAACATTTGTATTACAGACAGCAAATAAATATGCCACATGGTGTGAAAAAAAAAATTGAAAGTATGTAGTTGCAATATATAATATTACAATTAATAAAAAAATGGCTTTTGAAACAATGTTACGAGTGAAAGTATTGCTAAAAAGTACACTTCTATTGGAGTCTACTTTATGTACTATAGGAGTGTACTTTATGTGCTCTGGTCACACATTTTAGAAGATTCTTAGGCAGCAGAAATAAACCTCTAAGGTCAGTACTGATGCCTTCCCAGTGGCACTGATTTGCCACATGCCTAATCCAAACAGCCACATTCCTGCTGTTATAGCTGTAGTTAAACCCGTTAATGTAATGTGATCTGTTGGCTGTTTTCCTCTTAAACCTCAGAAGAAACTAAAACTGTTCACTTGGTTCTTAAGTGAACAGCTTCATCTTTGCTCCCAAACTGATGACAGTGTAAAATCTAATGTGTGTTTCTGCACAATGTAAGTCATTTTGGGACCTGCTGAAAACCTGGGGCCCAGGTTTTTTACCATTAAGCCAAAGCAGTTTTTTTCCACTCGAATAAATAAACAGCTGAGAATGACTTCAGGGACTAATTCCTTTGAACTTGGCTGAAGTGGCACAATATTCATGAAATTATTCATAACAATTTGTTTTGCAAGTTGGAAAATTGTTAAATTTGCTAATAATTTTGGTTATTACTGGCAAGAAGATGATATTGTTGTATTTCTTTTTATTCAATATGTTGAAACACTAAAGGAACGTGCTAACAAGGTCACAAACATCATCTGTTACACCAGCTTAGTATGATAAAAACTTCCAGAAGTGCTAATAAATACTTAATACATGCAATTTTCACATTATAGACCATCATGGGAAAACATGACGTCATTAAATTGGCTGCAGTCATATGGTGGCACTGAAATGAAAGTATTGTTTACAAGAATTTCAGATCAGCGTTACATTTACTCCTAAAACAAATCCTGCGCGTGGCTTTCAGATGATCTGGGGCCTCATGCATAAAGCGTGCAAAGGAAAGATGCGCAGCCACGTGCATGTGCACGGCTTTATACATCTGATTTTTTTGAGCGCTGCACTTTTAAAATTTTTCATACCAAGTTTTAGTGTGAAAACTGCACACTCTTTATGCATGAGGCCCCAGGTCATTTTATTTTGCTGTGATAAACCTTAGCATTAAATGATGGCGTTTTCTTTGTACCATGGTAAATGGCCTCTACTTGTATAAGGCTTTATCTAGCCGAAAAGATCCCAGATCGCTTTACATTACATTGAGTCATAAACCCATTCACACACATATCTACACACTGGCGGTGGTGAGGTACATTGTAGATACAGTTGTCATGGTGCAGTCTGACAAGAGCGAGGATGACTTTACATCTTACACAGCTGTCTACAGGATGTGATGACTGATTCCTTTGAGGGATTTCTGGTCTGCCACTTGTTGGGATTGAAGGGTGAGACAAAAAGCCTAGGGTAAATCAGAATCAGACACAAACAACTGAAGCATACAGCCAGAACATTTAGAAGAACAACCCTGCAGGAGCTGTTCAAAGGCTTTTATGAACCAGAATTTCTTATTTCCTTACAAAGGAAAAATATACCCTATTAGTATACCAGCTCTTCTTCCTGCTCTGTTCTCTGCTGTGTTGCATCGAGCCGTCAGTCTCAAAGTCATCTAAAGTCACAGTTGGATGACAGACGTGTCAGAAGATCTTAAAGCCCTTGAGCAGGGTGAGTGTGGCGGCCCTCCGTTTGCTCTGAGCTCTGGATGCCTTCACCGTGACCAGCTTGGCGGTGGCAGGCGTCGGCAGCTCCTTGTAGCATAGAGTGGAGAAGGAGTGGACACCCAGCAAAGCTTTGTCCTCGCTGACGTAGGCAGCATTGAGCAAGTTGCTGTGCTCTCCACCTCGCTTGGCCCTCCGGACTGCCTCGTGGAAGATGTGCTGCACCGACAGGAAGTCCCAACAGGCAGACACCTCAAAGAAGGAGCAGTCAAAGCGAGTCGCCACAGCCTCACCATCACTCTGACTCACCTGCCTGAAAGGACAAATCAGCCTTTAGACCAGGGGTGGGCAATTTTGGTTCTCGAGGGCTGGTGTCCTGCAACTCTT